TTACTTTTTATCCCTGCATTATAAATGAGAAAATTGGGATTAAAAGAGGTTACTTAACATTATCTATAGCTGGTAGATATCAGAGCCAGGTCTGGACCCCCAAAATGTCCAATTCGATAGATACTGTCATAAGTTATGGTTCAAAAAGTAAAGCTAAAAACATAGTACTTAAAGTTACCAAATTAATGACTGGAAGAGTGACAAATAAATAAAACTGATCAAATTTAGGAGAGGGAACTGTATTTGGGGTTAAGTGAGATAATCCCCAAACTTCAATGGATGGGATTCAGAAATACAGTTCAAAGTTGATAAACCAGGTAAGAGAGGCAAAATCTCTTATTTTGAGTTGTGAAAGTAATCACTAGAAGGACTAAGACAAATGGTAAAATACAACTCTATTTAGTCAGAGGGACCAACAGTGGAATGGAGAGTGGAATGGGCAAATGTCGCAGTTCATTATCTGCCTTTCTGTACTATTTGAACCTTTTAGTCCTCCTCTAAGCTGCACCATCACAGTTCATACCACATAATAGAAAGCAAGGCTGTATCTACACACACGTGCACACAAGCACGCACGTGCACGTGCATCCAGCTGCAGCTCTGAGGATGCAAACTCTAAACGATTTAATTACATAGGAACCTATTCAAGAACACAGATTTGCCTCCAGATTTGTTTTCCAGGATAAAACACAAAGCAGGTTCACACCCACTATGAGCTAAATCATGTACAGTAAAGGAACTCCAATCCCAAAAGGTGACTGGGAAATCCCAAATTTTTGTCCCTAAGAAAAGCAGGTCATAGAAACTTCAGTCTGTCATGGTTTTGCATCTTGGCTCCCAGGCATGCCACCAATACCAAACTCAAAAGATCAGTTGTTTATTTCATGTGTTTAAAAATATTCATTAAGGTAGCATTCCACAGGCTAAGCCTGCAAGTATGAACAAGAGGGACTTAAGGTTTACTGGAAATACACAAGATTTGGAGTCCCAAAATCTGGGACTGTTTTACCTGCATAGTTTACCAGTTGATGGTCTTGAGCAAATCATCAGTCCACCCAGAGCTGTGTTGTCTAGAATTACTAACTGTGTAGAGTTGCTGTTAAAATCAAGTGAGATAATGGACTATATGTAAGAGTATTTGATCAAATGTAAAGCCCAATAAAAATGTTAGGTGCTGTTATTATTATTACAANTAAAAAAAAATTAGAAAGCCCTCCTCATCCTCTCAAACTTTTTGAGAATTTGATAAGGCTGCTGCAAGCCTCCATTGTTTCTTCAGCAATGGGCTCTCCTTACAGATGTCTTTATTCATTTAAGGGCTTCACGTACTACCTGTAGTTAATAGTGCTTTCAACTTCATAGCTGCAAGTGAAAATGGGCATTGCTGACAAAAACAATGCAAACTTTTTACCCACTGAAACTGGCTTCACTGGTTCAAATAGATGGGGTTTGATTCATTTTACACGTGAGTTCTAGAGAGGGTTTCCCCTGACTTTCTCAGGACCACACAAGGCTAATTACAACAAAGTTGGATAAATGACTCGAGCTTCCTGTCTCCCAACTCAGTGCTCTGTTCACGACCCAGTGAGCTGTCTCTATGCGGGGCTCATCCAAGCTGGGGACTGGAGGACTGCTGGGAGAAGATCTGACTCTTTCTCTCTTTCTTCCTCTCTCTCTCCCTCCCTCTGCACGATTTCTGGTAGGAAGTGGCCGTTGCTACTGTCATCTGCAAAAACAAGCTCCAGGGGATCGAGGTTGGACATTTCATGGGAGGGGATGTCGGCATCTATACCAACGTTCACCAATACGTATCCTGGATTGAGAACGTCACTAAAGACAAATGAGACCCTAAGTGCTCGCTCTGCAGCCAC